TTATGCCCAGAGCACAACACATACTTTTATGATAACTAATGTATGCATTATTGTTATGCTCTAAACTAATGTGGTAATAATAGGGTTGAACCCTAATGTGTCACCAAGAGGTAAGGGTGTTGTAGTGACTTGCAAGATAATTATAGTAGTTAATAATAATGAGTTGTTTAGTTCAAATTTATTCACAGCATTACTTCCTTACCTATGGCTCTGTCATCATACTGGTGATGTTTTGTTATCATTTTAAAGATGTTATGTTATTAATTTGGTGATAGCATAACACATCACTACCCGTGGTTTGACGACTGTTTGGGTAGGGATGTCAATACAAATGTTTGTGATTGTATCCTCTACACTTGAACGATGGTTACATCGTTATTTGAATTCTAAATCCCTCCAAACCCTCATGAACAATATTTTTGTTTGAGTGAAAGTTAATAAAAATTTAATCATAATCAATGTACAATTGTGAAAATATAAAATAAAGAAAAATATACAAACACTCGTAATGACAAACTCTACAACTTTCGTGAAATGTGTCAACTCTAAAATTTGACACAATAATCTATAAACTCTAGATTTATATTTAACTGCGTGTTGTCATTTACGTTTATGCTCCATTCTTCTTACCAAATTTCATTTTTTTTTTCTTTTTCATGTTTTTTTTTTTTGAAAACATGATACGCGGATGCAAAAAGGTAAACGGTTCGGATTGTTGATATCACGTTCACATTTACGGTTAGTGAAAATATTGCTTGGAGTTTATAAAGTCTCTAGAAACTATATAACATCAACACATGCTTGAGTTAATCGTAAATATCAAACATGATATTAATGATCCGAACAATTTATCTTTATCCGCCAGAAGATCATGTTTTCAAAAAAGAAAATCTAAAAAAAAAACACACAAAATCTAGTGAGAAGAATAAAGTTTAAACGTAAACGACAATTGACATTTAAATATAAATCTAGGGTTTATGGTGTCGAATTTAGGAGTTGGCCTCTTCACAAAAGTTGTAGAGTTTATCATTATGAGCGTTTGTGTGTGTGTGTGTGTGTGTGTGTATTTTTTTACATTTTTCACACTCATACATCTATTATTATGATTTTTTTTTTTAATTTTGCACTCAAACAAAAACACTTTTCATGAGAGTTTGGAGGGGTTTAAGAATCTAAACAATGATATAACCATCATCCAAACGTAGAGGATATAATCATAAGCGTTTATATATTTTGTACACATTTTTCACACTTGCACATTAATTATTATGAATTTTTATTTATTTTGAACTCCATCTAAAAATATTAGAGGTTTTAAAAATTCAAACGACGATGTACTCATCGTCAAAGTGTAGATGATGCGGTCACAAGTGTTTGCATTTTTTTTTTTTTCACATTTTCATGCTTTTATATTTATTATGATTTTTTTTTAATCTGCTTTGATATTTTGTAGGAAATCAAATTATATTAAAAATTTCATCATGAGGGGTCAAAGTTGAGTACCAATGAGCGTTGACCATTGCAGACTAGCTTTGACCATTGTAGTAAGGATTTTTTTAGCACAGTTTAAAATGGCTTGTTATATTAACACCCCACATATACTTTTTTCAATTAAAATTTATCTTATTGCACCCCATGTACTTTCCCATAATACCCTAACATCCAACACTCCCAACATACACCTTACATCTTCTACATACACTCCACATTTTTTACATACACCCCACATTTTCTACATACACTCCACTCTCTTCATAATGGTTTCTTTCTTCTTATGCTGTTTGATACAAAATCATTCATGTCATGAAGGATTTGCTCAACTTTTTTCCCCTAAATTATTTTTTGGCAACAAGGATTTGTTGAACTTTTTTCTAACCAGTGAACATGATCAGTGAAGGTGTGTCCAAAAAATGACAATACATTTTAACCTTCATCCACTTGTGACGGTACATTTTGAACACGGTTTGAGCCATAACTTCAGGTAACCTCCAGGTGAATCCTAGAAATGACAATACATTTCAACCTTCATCCACCTATGACTGTACATTTTGAACACAGTCTGGGCCAGAAGTTCAAGCAGCCCCTCGGAATTGGGATTAACTTCTCAATATTTGAGGATACAGAGTTACTGAAAGTAGCTGACTTGGATATCTGTCTTATAGTTGTGAACGCCAAGGCATCCCATCCCGCCCATGACTGGGATATCTATCCTATATTCACAAAACAAATCTACTTGAATCAACCTGCGTGTAATTTATTGTGATTTTCGCTCGACTGATTTTTCATTTGACTTCTTTTCTTGTTGCAATGCATGTGTGTGACAAGCTTTAGAGATTCAAAACAAACCGCTGCCCTATTTGCCGACAACCAATTAAGAGACGTTTGACGATAAAGGTCAACAATGGCCCTGATGAATCAGGCATCAATGGATGTGCTCTACAAAGGAAGGTGAAAGCGTTTATGAGAAAAAGACTTGAAGACTTGAAGAGGATAAATAATTTTGAGATATACACGTTAAAACTAATTTGAGGTGTATTTAGAATATTTTTTTTTAATTTTTCCAAATCCTATAAGGTCGAACTTGTCATTACATATTAGATGTACAAGTCATTTAATAAAAAAAAGCCTTTAAATTTACCAAACTACTTTTTTTCTTCACCTTCTGTAGATAAACTTATTAAGAACTTGTTATTAATGGGTCCTTAATGTGTGATCTGATAACGACACGATTAGTTAATGTGTTCACCCAAAACCTACTTATTTCTGTATTGTATCCGGTTAACAGATCATGCAAAACATTGTCAGGTCTACTGAATATTTTAATATTTTTTTAGTATATTGGGACGCTTTCACTAATTATGTATTGTTTAAATTGATTAAACTAATATTATTTGTTTAAATATAATTTTTGGAATAATTTTTTTAAGAAGAAATACATTAAAAGTATCAACCTTTGGAGACGACATCACTAAAATATAATATTTGTTTCATTTACAAAACTAGCTTTTTATGATTTTTTACGAGAAATATTATTAATATTTCAAAAATCTCATTTTACATTCCTCACAAGTATATTTTTTTTTACAAATAAAAAAAGTTTGAAGTGTATAATGAGATTTTTGAAGTATCAATAATAATTCTCTTTTTTAATAATAAATTCTAACTACTAGTTGACCTAAGCTATCATTTGAATTGTCCTATGAACAAGTTAATCTTACGGGAGTCAAAAGCTGAAGTGTGTGATAATTGGTGGGCTGCGCCACACCTGATAACAACAACCATGCCGCTCCTTCATTCTTTTGCACAAGAGGTTTTTCAGTGTACCGGAAACGCGACCCATTACATATTGTGTCATAAAGCAAGTGATTGAATTTTTTTTTTTTCAAATATCCAACCATTTGTATTATGACATGTAGCGAATCGGGCATATTCTCAAAGCACTAAATAATTTCTCCCTTTGTACATGATAGGCACTTGAACACTATTAGCCCGACTTTTATAGAGGCTACAAAATGAAAAGCTCTTTAGCCCTTTGGCCTCTAAATCTCTTTTTGGAGATTCTTTTTGTCCCTCTATTGTACCCATGCCGCTCAATTGGATACTACATTGAAGATGGCCTAACATTTTATGCTTCTGTCATTTATAATTACGGTCTACTGATATTTCTTTTCAGTGAGATATCTTACGTTCGATCTCACAGATGACGCATAACTAATTTATTTATGAAATTCTATCGCCGGATTTCGCTATTTAAATTTCATATTTCATAGTTGTTACGACTCGTCTTAATTTTTGGCATAAATTTTTTTTTTCAAAATTTGCAAAAGAATGAAAATGCTCCAATTGGGCTAGCTCAGTTCTACGTGGAATTTTAAACTCCAAAATATCGAGTATTATGAATGTTTTAATTGTTAAATTTTTAAACTATTGAAATCTGTGGTTTAATCTGAAGTCACATCAATCATTTGAAACACTTACATAGATTAGTCTAGACAGAGCATATTTTCCTTTTTCCTAACACCGTATAGGTTCAGATGGCATTGAATCAGTCTTCAATTAACCGATGACAGACCCAGATTTTCTCGTTTAAAACGAAAAACACCAAAACTTCTTCTTACCTTCCAAAACTGCAAACATACAAGTAGAAGGAAATAAAAATAAAAAATAAAAAATAAAAAATAAAAAAAAAGGGGAACGTTCCGGATTTTTGCACATTCTTTGGTTATACAAGTCTCATCGTGACTTTGTAGATAGCTTCTTTGTTACCTTCCAAAACTGCAAATACATAAGAGATCACAAAATGCTGCCATCACCTTTGTGGAACATTCCTACAGATGATCTCAAAGTCACCTTGTAAATGAACAATGTTATGCATATGCTACGTTAGTAGTACGAATAAACTAGTATTCGAACTAGGTTCAATACTTGAATTGTCTCACCATATCAATAATGCTTTTATCTGTTTTAAAAGGTGAACTTGAGGTGTCATTCACCATTAATTTGTTCTGTTAATTTGCTCGCACTTTAAAAAAATTATTGTGCACTCAATTTAAACGGTATTTTATTTCAATTATTTATTTATTTCAATTACAAAAAATATTTTACACTAATTTACACTTATTGTACATATATGATTACTATTTTCAGAGCCTAATAACACTACTCATATTATTTTTTTAAGGAATTATATAATAATTTACAGTTGAAAATCACCATTTTACAGTGGTAATAACAATAGAAATAATATTGCGTCATTTTAATTTTTGTTTTTAATTTCTCAGGCATATAACGTTGATGGCAGGGTGTCATAAATTTGCAAACCTCATTTGACTATAGTTTGGATGAAGAGTACAGTGGAGCCCACATAATTCTTCAAAAGAAATTGGAGAAAGTGGGTATGGCCGCCTCTATTATATGAATAGACATAAAATATTCTGCCCTTGGCATCTAAAAATATATTATTCTGACTTTAATGGTTGTTTGAGAAATTGAGAATTTTCTTCCCTTTGTGCACGTATAAATACCCTCGAAACTTCTCAAGGAAATGAATCTCTCAGTTTTTGCAAAGGTTAGAGAGAGAGAGAGAGAAGATAGAGGAGATTTTGATTTGGAGTGGGAACTTTGGAAATTTAGAGAAAAGCAATCAAAAATTTCTCCACCCAACACATTTCCATATTTCCACAAAGTATAGATTTTTGTTTTGAAAGAAAAGGATATAGATTTAACATCCATTACCCTTGTCATTCAACAAACTCAACAAATAAGTAAGTCCTTTTAGTTCTCCATACCTCGTTTGGCTGCCAAGAAAATTTCACAAAACATCGAAGCGTTGATACAATATTCTAAATTCAGTTTATTTTCAGGAGGTAAACCGAAATGGAGGGAACAGAGAAACCGAAAGGTTCAGAACCACATCATCAAAAGCGCCATAGCCGCAGCAGAAGCATAAGCAGGAGCCTGAGCAGGGCAAGTTGGCGCATGGAAGAAGTATTTGGGACTGCCACGCACTCGAGAAGAAGCAGCCAAGCGGACGAAGACGAAGAAGCTCTGACATGGGCTGCCATTGAGAAACTGCCCACGTATGATAGGCTAAGAACAAGCATCATCAAGTCCCTTGGGGAAACTGAGCATCAAGGAGTACATAAGCAAGTAGACGTTCTACAGCTCGACATGGACGACCGTCAGAATTTCATTCAAAGGGTTTTCAAGGTTGCAGAGGAAGATAATGAGACGTTCCTGAAAAAGTTCAGAAGTAGACTTGATAAGTAAGTCCTTGTTTTTTATCTTTCATGGTTCGGTTAAATTTCTTTTAATTAAGGAAAACAATATTCACACCTTCTATATTTCTCAAGTTTATTTCTTACATTTAGATTGAATAAATCAAAGAACATTCACATATATAAATTATTTTAGAAAATTAAAAGTATGTGTAAGGTGAAAAATTAAAAGTATGTGTAAGGTGACAAAGTAAGGTGAAAAAGTATGTGTTTATTTTTTATTTTTTATTTTTTATTTTTATTTTTTTGCAATAATCAAGAATAGAACGTGACTTTGACATTAGTAGATGTGGGTACTAATAATGTTTTGGAGTCATTCATTGATTTCCTCCAATAGAATTAAGTTAAAAATGCAATAAATAATGCAAAGAGTAAATTAGTACATATAACATTATTAATGCTAGAGAAAAAATTTAAAATAAATTTTGTATATTTATGATGTAGTTGTTAATAATTAAATTATTATTTAAATTAACTAACGTGCTTATTTCTTTTTTATAACACATTATTTAATTTGAAAATATAGTATACCTAGAATTTACTCTTAGTTGAATCAAACTTGTTTTAATTAGTTACAAGGTTGCTTTCGTGCATAATTTACCATTGATCGCTGTCGTTGTCATTTTTTTCCATCCTGGCTAGTGGACAAATGAAACGTTAAGATGTAGCTTGAGTCGCTTTCTTGGTTAGCATAGGAGCAGGCCTGTGATGCAAGCAGGGTACTAGTTAATTGTGTTGTGAGGTCTATATCCCAATAGTATATGGTTTGGTAACTTTATTATTTGTTTTTTATTCGGTGATATATATTTCATTATGCACATGCGAAGAACCTTGTGGTTTAGTCTTTATTTTCGATGCAATTTATAAAATATGGTCTTTCTAACATATCCTTTGTTAAATCATTTTACCATACTTTCTTTTAATATGGTATTGAAATGTCATTTAAGATTGTGTATCTTTCCTTAATTTCTTAAGTGACGAACGAATTAGGTCAATAAAACAACTTCCCGGCAGCTCCTTTATTGTTAAGGGAATCTAATTGGTGAACATAGTAAAACATTGCATGAAAAGGAGCATGTTAATTAATAAATCCAATGAAGCTCTAACTAATTAATTAAAATTTTCATGTGTTGTCATTGATTGCAGGGTTGGGATCAAACTTCCCACAGTGGAAGTAAGGTACGAGCATTTGACAATTGAAGCTGATTGCCATGTTGGAACAAGAGCTCTTCCCACCCTCCCAAATGTTGCTCGGAACATCGCAGAATCAGCTCTTGGCTTAATTGGGATTAAGTTGACTAAGCAAACAAAACTAACAATTCTCAAAGATGTCTCTGGCATTATTAAACCTTCAAGGTAACTAAGCATTAGATTTATGATTTATTTAAGTTACCATTCTATGTGATCTGATACGTTAATTGATATTTTTATTCGATAGATTAAAAAATATTTTTGCTGTTGATTAATTCTAAGTTTTTGATGTAGCCTTTTTGTTGTTTTTCTGTAGGATGGCCCTTTTATTAGGTCCTCCATCCTCGGGGAAGACTTCCCTTTTGCTGGCTTTAGCTGGGAAGTTGGATTCAAGCTTGAAGGTCAGTGACATGTGGCTTTGACTTGATCAACAATTACTTGACCCAAGGGGTTTTAATTCCGATAAGATACGGGATGTCATAGATTACGTCCAGAAAAATTAGAAAAAGACAAAAAAAAAAAAACTAACTTCAGTCTCCTTTTTTGACAAAGCATTAATTTACTTTTTCTCATAGGTAGCCATTTGACTTGTCGTTCAAACATTGTTTTTGTAAAACTTATTTTGACTTTTCAACTAGAATAAAATCTTAAAAAAATATGAAGAATAAATTATATCGAACTCATGAGATTTAAATTAAAATTTTTAACTTACAAGCAAAGGGCAATAACATTGAAAATTTAAATATTTAAATGAAGAAAATGTTGCTTGTAGTATTTTAATCTCAATTTTCTTTTATAATTATAATTATTACTATAATGCTTTTCTGGTTAAATTATGTGGAACAGGTTAAAGGAGAGATAACTTACAATGGTCACCGGCTGAATGAGTTTGTGCCACGGAAGACATCTGCATACATTAGCCAAAATGATCTTCATGTTGGAAATATGACGGTCAAAGAAACACTAGATTTTTCGGCAAGGTGCCAAGGGGTTGGGACACGATATGGTATTTTATTAATCCATCTCATCAAAATTGAGACTCCCGTATTCATATTCAATCCTTATTTTAATTAAGGAAAACTAATAAAAATAGCTTGAAAACTTTGAGTTTTAACGATAAGAACAAAGTAAAAGGGAAAGTGAACAGTACTATGATTGACTTTTGAATGTAAAAATATGATTTTTCGTTAAAGTGAATAATACCGAGAGATTTTTTATTAAAGTTTCCTCTTAATTATTCGATGGTTCATATGTAGAACTTCTTACTGAGCTTGCTAGAAGAGAAAAGGCCGCTGGAATATATCCAGAGCCCGAAGTAGACCTTTTCATGAAGGTAATATTTTATATTTACATATGTAATATAATATAATATATATATATATATATATATATATATATATATATATATCACACACAAACCCCTCGTATATATTTAATTATATCTACATTTATGGGTTTTTTTTTTTATTTTCAGGCTACTGCAATGGGAGGACTTGAAAACAGTCTCATTACTGATTATACTCTCAAAGTATGTAAATTTTGTTTTAAAAAAAAAGCTTGACCCTAAACTAAAATGGTCCATCTTATCTTAATATGCAAATTTAAGTATCAATCAGTTATGGTTCATGTAGTTGCGTACATCTAAACTACTTATTAATAAAATTCTCTTTGTCAATTAAAAGAATGTGAAAAGATAATTTAATCTTCATCTATATATCATCACATCATATTCTCATTTTAAAATTAAAAATATAGAAATTTAAACTTCTCTCCAGCTTCACTTTCACATATTTTCGTAAAAACAATGAGTATACGTATAAGAGCTCGATCGAGAAGAAGGCAGGCATTCATCGACAATGAGTATAAAAACAATGAGTACACATATTTTTCTAAATTTTTTTAATGAAATAATGATGAAGCATGATTTTTTATTGAATGGTACAGATTTTGGGGCTTGATATATGTAAGGACACAATTGTTGGAGATGAGATGCAGAGAGGGATATCTGGTGGCCAGAAAAAACGAGTAACCACAGGTCAATTCCAACCTTTTCTTGTCTTTCTGATTTTGTTTAGAATTTGGAGCATATTTTATTCATCACTCTCAAGTTGTGGTATTACTCATCACTTTATTTATTATCATTTGATGAGTTTAAATTTTAAGATTTATCCACTACATATATTTCGAGATTTGAACTCATCTAATGGTGATAAATAAAGTGGAGCACATCACCACGTGAAGGTGGTGAGGAAATGTATTCTCAATAGGGTCGTGATCATATGGTCTCATGTTGTAGACCAAAGATACTTGTGGGTGGTGTCACACTTCGAATTTTCTTTGCAAAGTCATCAATGCCGTAAGAACTGGAATTTTAATGCACCTTGAAAAGAAATGTCTTTACAGTATTCAACGGGATTTTTCAATACTGTTTGATAAGCAACAACTAAATTTTAGATGAATAATATTATAACAAATACCTTTTAAATAATTTTATACGAGTCATTCTAAATCGTAAGCTAATTGCTATATTCTTGTATTTTTTTTATATAAAAAAAAAAGCAAAAAATGTTATACTGTATATGAGCGTCAAATGTGTAAATGTTAAATTGTATACATTGCCTTGTACATGTATAATGTGTTGAGAAAGTAAATTATTACGGTCAATTACAGGTGAGATGATTGTTGGACCTACTAAAACATTGTTCATGGATGAGATTTCAACGGGTCTCGATAGCTCCACGACGTTCCAAATCGTGAAGTGCCTACAACAAATTGTACACATCACTGAGGCTACGATCTTGATGTCTTTACTCCAACCTGCTCCTGAGACATTTGATCTTTTTGATGATATCATCCTTTTATCAGAAGGCCAGATCGTTTACCAGGGATCACGTGAGCACATATTAGAGTTCTTTGAGACATGTGGATTTCGATGCCCTGAGAGAAAGGGAACTGCCGATTTCTTGCAAGAGGTAAAATCACGATAAAGTCTCACATTAATTTAATAGGTGGTGACACATCTTATTAAAAATTAGGAGCAAGTGACATATTGCTTAAGACTCTCTTACGAGAAAATCTTCCCTACCACCAGTTGCACACATTTACCTCTTTGTCTCTATTTATCTTTTATCACGTGACCAGTCATGATATATAATTGTATATAACTAGTTTGACTGTACCTTAAGTTTTCTCCCAACTTCTAGCCCAAACCAAGGGGTTGTAGCGTTTAAAAGCATTTGTCACTGCACCTGAAGTCTGGAGTTCAGACTTCCAGCCACACCCTAGAATTGCTTATATAAAAACTTATAGTCCAAGAAATTGTAATAAGCCTTTTTTTTTTTTTGGTGAACAATTGTAATAAGCCTTTGCTAATCCAATTTCATATTGTTATAAGCCTTTACATCCCATAACTACCGTCTAACCTTTTCAGGTTACCTCAAGAAAAGACCAGGAGCAGTATTGGGCAGACAGAAGGACTCCATACAGATACGTATCGGTCACAGAATTTGCAAACCGGTTCAAGCGTTTCCATGTGGGCATGAGTATAGCGGATGAGCTCTCAATCCCATTCGACAAGGCTCAAAGCCACAAAGCAGCTCTTGTATTCAAAACATATTCAATGCCCAAAATGCAGCTTCTCAAAGCATGTTTTGACAAAGAATGGCTGCTCATGCAGAGGAACTCATTTATTTACATTTTCAAGACTGTCCAAATTATAATAGGGGCAATCATAACGGCGACAGTGTTTTTGAGGACCGAAATGGACACTAGAAATGAAAATGATGGAGCACTCTATGTTGGTGCACTTATATATTGCCTAATCATTAACATGTTTAATGGGTTTGCTGAGCTCTCATTGACCATTGCAAGACTTCCTGTGTTTTACAAGCATAGAGACCTTCTTTTCCACCCTGCTTGGACTTTCACTCTCCCATCTGTCCTGCTTGGGATTCCTATATCCATCATAGAATCTACTGTTTTCATAGGCATAACATACTACACCATTGGATTTGCACCTGAAGCTAGCAGGTACCACATTTGTCTCTGCTTAATTTCATTTCTATATATTTTGTTCGTAAATTAGTTTTCCATCATTGAATAACATAGTTTTTTCATCAACCAAATGTTTTATTGAATTTTATGTTGGTCCTTTCGTCGTTGGGTAAACTATTTAGTTTTCCATCATTGAATAACATAGTTTTTTAATCAACCAAATGTTTTATTGAGTTTTTATGTTGGTCCTTTCATCGTTAGTAAACTATTTAATGTAGTTTTGAATAGATACGTAGGCACAAAATCTTGTTACTTTGATTAGGTACAATATTATAAACACACGTGTAGGTAAGTTAATAAAATTGCAAATAACTCTTTGATTAGGTACAAAATCTTATTACTTTGAAAAGTTTCTTGTCCTTGAGATACTAAGCAGCTGTCAAAATATTTGCAGGTTTTTCAAGCAACTATTGTTGATATTTCTGATGCAACAAATGGCATCTGCGCTATTTAGGCTTATTGCTGGAGTTAGCAGGACCATGATCATATCCAACACTGGCGGGACTCTCACTCTTCTAATTCTTTTCTTGCTTGGAGGTTTCATAATTCCAAGAGGTTAGTTTGAGTTGCAAATTTAGTTTTAAAAAAATAGTCAAAAACTAGCAAAAAGGGACCAAATTAGTATTTCACGGAATATTCAAGGAGTTGCTTCATTTGTGACAGGTGAAATTCCAAACTGGTGGACGTGGGCATACTGGATTTCACCTTTGACATATGGCTTCAATGCTATCTCTGTAAATGAAATGTATGCTCCGAGGTGGATGAACAAACTGGTATAATAAACTTAAGCTCTTCCTTGCACACGTCATTCATGAGCTACATTTGTTTAATAACTTAACAAAAAGGCTAAGCTTCTGCACCGAACTTCCTTGTGCTGCAGGCTTTAGATAATGTTACCAGGGTGGGTGAGACAGTGCTTAATAACTTTGATGTTTACCACAACAAAAACTGGTTTTGGATTGGTTCTGGCGCTCTTCTGGGGTTTGTTGTTCTCTTCAACTCCCTTTATACGGTCTCCCTTATGTACCTAAGTCGTAAGAGTCAATATTCCTTTTTATGTCTACAAGGAACTTCTTTAATTTGTACTTTTAAAGTTACAGTCTTTCATGGTTTTGTTTTAATAAATTAGCTCCTGGAAAGCCACAAGCCATCATATCTGAAGAGGCGGCAAACGAAATGGAGCTAGACCAAGAAGAATCAAAGGACGAGCCAAGACTGAGAAGACCCCCATCCAAGAATGTTTCATTGCCTCGATCATTATCTTCTACTGATGGAAACAATACAAGTAAGAAACAGAAAAATATCGTCAAGTGTAATGTGAGCATATTGTTATCCGAGTTTCTTTCTGAATTAAACTTTTCTGTAGGAGAAATGGAAGTCCGACGAATGAGCAGTCGATCCAGCTCTAGTGGACTAGATAGAAATGCTGATTCATCTCTCGAAGTCTCCGGTGGTGTTGCCCCCAAGAGAGGAATGGTTCTACCTTTCACTCCTCTTGCAATGTCCTTCGACAGTGTTAATTATTTCGTGGACATGCCCACTGTAATATTTCTGTTTCTGTATTCCACTCTTTGTTTATCTGAAACATTATCTTGTAGTCCAACTTCACTACTTAATTAGCTAACTTAGTTCACTATAACAGGAAATGAAGGAGGAAGGAGTAGCAGAGGACAGGCTGCAACTACTTCGTGAAGTAACTGGTGCATTTAGGCCTGGGGTCTTGACTGCCCTAATGGGGGTAAGTGGGGCTGGGAAGACAACTTTGATGGATGTCTTAGCAGGAAGAAAGACCGGAGGTTACATTGAAGGTGACATTAGAATTTCCGGGTACCCTAAGAAGCAAGAAACCTTTGCAAGAATTTCTGGTTACTGTGAACAAACTGATATCCACTCACCCCAAGTCACTATCAAAGAATCGTTGGTTTACTCAGCTTTCCTTAGACTCCCTAAAGAAGTCAGCAACGAGGAAAAGATGGTAAAACCATGACTTGCACTGCTTCTCTGAACAAAGCATAGTACAATTATTTAAATGCTGAACTGCATATACTATATATGTTTGCAGATTTTTGTAGATCAAGTGATGGAACTGGTTGAGCTGGACAATCTTAAAGATGCCTTAGTAGGGCTTCCCGGAGTTTCAGGGCTGTCAACAGAACAAAGAAAGAGGTTAACGATTGCAGTTGAGCTTGTTGCCAATCCCTCAATCATTTTCATGGATGAACCAACATCAGGTCTTGATGCAAGGGCAGCTGCCATCGTTATGAGGACTGTTAGAAATACAGTGGACACTGGGAGAACAGTTGTTTGCACAATTCATCAGCCTAGCATAGATATCTTTGAGGCATTCGATGAGCTGCTACTGATGAAGAGAGGAGGACAAGTTATCTACTTAGGACCACTGGGCCGCAATTCTCACAAGATTGTTGAATATTTTGAGGTATTTTATCTGCGTGCAACTTTTTTCGTATTTTAATTTTGCACAGAGAAATAATCAAAGGCATTGTCATCCAAGTGTATACTTACCAACTTAATTCCAGGCGGTTCCTGGCGTGCCAAAAATCAAAGAGAAGTACAATCCAGCTACATGGATGCTTGAGGCGAGCTCAACGTCAATTGAGGTCCGGCTTGGAATGGACTTTGCTCAATACTACAAATCATCTGCCTTGTATCAGTAAGTAGAAAAAAATTGTAAATAATACTATTTTGTTGCAGTGTTCGGAATTGGCTGGTTTTTGGAAAATATAAAACTTATATTCCAATATTTATGACCAGGAGAAACAAAGCTTTAGTAAATGAGTTGAGCACACCACCAGGAGGAGCAAACGACCTCTATTTTCCCACTCAGTTTTCTCAGTCGTCATGGAAGCAATTCCAGTCTTGCCTCTGGAAGCAGTGGTGGACATATTGGAGAAGTCCTGATTATAACCTTGTCAGATTCTTTTTTACCTTGGCAGCAGCCCTTCTCGTTGGATCTATTTTCTGGGATGTTGGCTCAAAAATGTGTGTGCTTATCTCAAAGCTTAACTATTTCAAACTTCAACTAGTACTCATTATTTTGACTATAAAAGTTTTCGTTCAAGAGTTTCCATACACCAATTTCTTGCTAATTACATATTTCTCCTTATCCAGGGAAAGCAGTTCTAATTTGACCATGGTTATCGGGGCTATGTACGCTGCTGTATTTTTCGTCGGATTTGATAACTGCACAACGGTGCAACCCATTGTCGCCATTGAAAGAACAGTTTTTTATCGAGAAAGAGCTGCTGGGATGTACTCTGCATTACCTTATGCACTGGCACAGGTGAAGGGAGAATAAATACTTATGTTAACTCACATTTTGCCCATATATAGTATTGATCCTAGTTTCATATACAACACTATTATAAATCGATATTTGTTGCTATAGAAAAAATTGTCATCTGACTGACTCAAATAAACCTTTTGTATGACATGCAGGTCATTATTGAAATACCATATGTGTTTATTCAGACCACGTATTATACACTGATAGTGTATGCTATGGTGAGCTTCCAATGGGAAGTAGGAAAATTCTTCTGGTTCTTCTTTATCAACTTCTTCTCCTTCCTTTACTTCACATACTATGGCATGATGACCGTTTCCATCACACCGAACCACCAAGTAGCAGCCATATTCGCCGCAGCTTTCTATTCAGTCTTCAATCTCTTCTCTGGTTTCTTCATTCCAAGACCAGTAAGTACTAGTATTCTTCTTCCCACAAGCATATACTTCAATTTAAATTGGATTATAATGATACTGTGATTGATTGGTCTAAATTGATCAACAAAATCACCGCAATCATTTTCCAACTGATTAAAATCTAACGGTTGAGTGTTCTGAATAAAGTTTGCATCTCAACTATCGGATTTTGATTTAAAAGTTGGTGATTCGATTTTCGTCCCCAGTGCTGATGAAGTGACTAAAACTCGTTATAAAAGTATGTTAACACGAATTCTTTATCTTTTGAATTTTCAGAAAATACCCAAATGGTGGATTTGGTACTACTGGATATGTCCCGTGGCATGGACGGTGTATGGATTGATTGTGACACAGTATGGTGACATTGAGAAGACCATTAAAGCACCTGGGTATACATCTGACCCAACTGTGAAATGGTACCTAGAAGACCGTTACGGATTTAAATCAGATTTCAAGGGACCAGTGGCTGGAGTTCTAGTTGGATTCGGAGTCTTCTTCGCCTTCATGTTTGCCTTCTGCATTCGGAAACTCAACTTCCAAGTTCGATAGAGGTGTTCTTTGTATACCTTATATCTGTTATTATATGTATGTGTGTGTTTGTGTTATAGAAAGTGAGATACGTAAATATATGTAATATTGTAACAAGAAGAATAAAGGAAGCCTTTCCTTAAACATTAATTGCTCCCTTGAGAAAGTAATTGTGATCGTTAGGGTTATTTTTGTTGCAGATGATGAGTTTAGTTGACGTCTCTTACAGATTGCATCTGAAAGGAAAATCATGGATTTTCATATTTTTGTTGCAGATGATGAGTTGAGTTTAGTTGACGCTGCTAGAATATATATTTATACTGGTAACTTGGTAAGTCAGAATTGGGACTTAACCCTGGATTTTCATGTTCTCGCTCTCTCACACAGAGTAGCTTTCATGTTCTTCTTACTCTGTGGCTTGTTATGACCCAAATCTAACCCTTACTCAACCTGCAAGTATCACAGTAACAATGGAGGAAGAGGAAGGAAGGAGAGAAGAGAGCTGAGCTCCACTTGTTTTTGTAATACTACATTTAATTCAAAATGACCATTGGCAAAAATCACACCCAATGTGTATGCATATACAGTCTATACATCACTTGCCAGTTGGAAGCCAAAACTACTAAACTAATTAGTCCCCATTAACTAATTAGTCCCTGATTGTGATTGAGCTAATCATAGATCATAACATTACCCCTCGCTCAAGCAAAACCTTGTTCACTAGGTTTTAGAATTTGATATCAGGATATGGAGAAACAAAAACGTCATAATGTTCCCAAGTTGCTTCTTCTTTAGTATGGCCTTCCCACTGTAGTAGCACTTGGACTCCACTAGTATTCCCTCTCTCGTACATTCTTCTACTCAACACTGCAAAGGGGGCTTCCATCACCATGCCATCATCACTTACTTCTGGAAGAGTTGTTGCAGTAGTCACTTGTGTTCCCAAATGCTTTTTTAAACAGCTCACATGGAAGACATGATGTATTTTTGTATTGGCTGGCAACTTGAGTTTGTAGGCTACCTCACTAATCCTTTGTTTTTTACTTAGGAGTTATTGGTGATACTAATTCAATTTATATATATGGGTGTGTGAAAAATCATGGAATGTAAACCTTCTATTTACGCATATTGTGATACTAACTCAATTGATTTGGTACTCTACTTTTGTTTGCTTTTTGTTTTGTTTTCTTTATTTATTTATTTATTTTTCATGATAACTGAGTGTACAATGTAAACCTTCTGTGATCACTTACCTCTGTTGGATTCATGCTAATTGGTGTCGGTGTTCCTAAATAGGATACTAATTCAATTTATACATTTCTTTTGTAGGCCTCTTTTGGTGACAACGAGTTGATGAGACTTTGTGATTGAACATGCTAAATCATTTGTGTTCGAAAGTGTTTAGTTTCGGAATATTTTGGAGCTTTGAATCATCTAGTATTCAAGATAATGACTACATTTTGTTTTTAGAAGCTTTACTTTGTAATCATATGGATTATAATTAAAGACTTGCTTGGGTGTAGCAGAAAAATATCATTTGTAAACTATTATTTCAATTATTGGAATTGTATGAGGACTTAAATGAATAAAATAAGGAAATACATGCTAAAATGTACCTATAACGGTATTTAATTGTCAGAAAACGAAAAATTATGACAAATTTTTCTTTTGTAATTTTCAAGTTGTTATAAAAAAAACATGTAAACGGGTGAAAAAAGAGGTAAATGGGTAAAAAATAAAAAGATAAACGGGTTCAAAAACGGGTAAATGATTATGGTTAAATGGGTAAACGGTTAGGGTACAGTTAACCATTTATAAACGGTTATGGGTATGGGTATAACCGTTTATGCAATTACCCAATGAGTAAACGGTTATGCGGACATGAACCTAAATGGTTATGCATAACTAACCGCGGTTACCCGTCCACCATAACCGTTGCCCATCCCTACATGGAAGACATGATGTATTTTTGTATTGGTTGGCAACTTGAGTTTGTAGGCTAACTCACTAATCCTTTGCAAAACCTCATGGCCCACAAAATCTTGGATGTAACTTGTGATGGGAATGTGAGTTTAGTGATTGCAGCTAGTAAGGTACCAACTTCAAATGCACCAAATCCCCCATAGCAAACTACCTTCCAATTTTGTGCTTGTCTACCTCAACCTTCATTCTGTTTTGTGCCAGAAACAAGTTGGATATAAGAATGGACAACATTTTATCCTTATCCAGCAAGCTTTGCCCAACCACATCCATTTTAGCTGATCTCGATTCATAAGTAGCAATGTAGGGAGGTGGGTAACTATAAACTAGTTCAAAGAGAATGAACTTAGTTGTGGGGTGTTGTAGTTCCACTAAGCCCAGGCTAACCATTGGACCCATATTTTAGGTTGTGCTCTAACAAAACATCTAAGATAAGTCTTTAGACTCCTGTTCATCACCTCAGTTTTACCATCAGATTAAGGGTGATACCCATAAAAGTAGAACCTTGTAACTTGGAAAAATTCTCTCCAAAAGTTGTTGAGGAAAATAGGGTCATTGTCACTCACTGCACACCCTACCTGACATAACCTTTTACAAGCGCATCAAACTGTTAGCGCTCAATAAGGCAACTGTTGGGTTTTGTAAAAATCTTCTAGGGAGGGTGGAGGAGGTGGCGTACTATAATCGGGGAAACCACATTTCTTTAAGTTTGATACAAAAGGACAGAACGAAAGATTGTACTCTGTTGTGAGGGACAATGAGACTTAATTTAGTCATTTACTTCCACACTGCCGAGCCCCTTATCTCTACTCAAGTTGTAATTAGTCCAAGGAATGCCCAAAGACTTCCGTGCCTTTCTTCGTTGCACCATATTTCCAACAAGTCTTTTTGTTATAGTAAGAAGCGGTATTAAAAGTGAATCTCCCATGTAATTTGAACACATGCTCCAGAAAAAGCTGAGCTACAATGCAGTGGTGCATGGATGGGACAATGCAATGAAGTATGCATACTTTGTTAACCTATCCACCACTACTAAAATCATAGACTTCCCTTTGCAGCTTGACAAGCCATCAATAAAATCCACACTAACTTCTACCATATTCAGGGGAATGGGAAGAGGTTGCAGCAAGCCTGAGGTGTTATGGCTTCTTGTTTATGTAATTGGTAAACTTGACAGTCAGCCACAAATTGCTTGACTTCTATTTTCATCCCAGTCCAATAAAAACACTTTTGATTCTTTGGTATGCCTTCAAAATTCCTTGATGACCAATTCAGGGAGTTGAGTGGTGCTCTTCCTTGATTTTTGCTCACGAATGGGATGTAGGGCTTATCACAATCCTAGTTTTATATTTGAGAAATCCATAGTCAACTTCAAACTTGGATAAACTGGAGCTAGGTATTGGTATATTAGAAAAGGTTGCCCCTTGTACTTCCTTATTCTTGTGAATAACCACTCATCTTAATCCACTTCCCTTCTCAATTCATCTAGCCCACCCAAAGTATGGATAAGGGACTGCCATACATTTAGTCATCCCACTAATACTTTTGCCCCTTCGTGAAGGTTATGAAAACCATAGCCCTTTGAAAGGACATCAACAACTATGCTATCTTTCCCATGCTTATATTGTATTCATAATTGTTGGAACCAAATCTGTGCACCTCTGTAATCGATGATTGAGTAAAAATCCAAGCAAAACTGAGCAACCTGCAAAACAGTAAAACAAGTGTAAGCAAACCTTAAGCTAGAAGGGGGGAGGGTGTGTCAACCAAAGACTCTTCGACGGTCAAGCGAATAATTTGAGACTCAAGTAGTGAGCAAGAGTATTCAAGTGTATAGATTGCACTACCATAGATGAACCCTAGATGGGGGTATTTACACTTGGGAGATAGACCATGTTAGGAGATTTTAGGAGAAAATCCTCATTCTAGCCGGGAGAATCCTAGAGGATATCTAGTAAGTAGATATTGTATCCTCTTAGGAATTGTGATTACTTGCGGCGCATGCCTATCCCTAGGTTGTAGGGACTTGAAGACTTATAGGATTTGATTATGTCCATATCCAGATCAGACCGCGTGTCTTGCAGAGCAAGCATGGTCATCCAGTTGAGTCGCTAGAACTCTGTCTAATGTCTTAGAGTAGAATGATGGTGGCACCCTACTCCGTCTGATACAGCTCCGCCCGGAACTAATGAGTCCATGATCGAACTTCTTAAGTAATTGTAATCAAGTCAGCCTTACTCCGGCCATGAAAAATCATGGTTCCGTAATTACCCTTAACTATCTGTCTGAGAGGCAACTTGTTCCCATTGAGAATGGATTGTTACCAAAGACCATGCCTTTTAGAGTAAGCTGGAATACATACCGTTTAGTCTTCAAATTCTTTGCACATAGGTCTGGCTCATCATTAAAGCGGGGTAGTTGAGTCGCTTTGATTTTCATCGCATAAATCTTAGAATCATGAAAAAAGATCAACTGTCATGATGATGAATGCCTCTGCTTTATGCGGTTGCTTTTCCATGCGTTTTATTAATTAACTTCAATCGTCGTATGCATTGCTTTTCCCAAACTAGATTGCATGTTCGTTCCTAGTGAATCTGAAACGAAAGTCTTTAGGAGCATGATCGTCAGCATGGGGGTCAGAAACACTTTTTGAATCCTTTTGTTGGACCCTAGGTGCCATACCTGAGCGGTTCCAATAGGATTACCTTAGTTGGCTGGGCCAAATCATTTCCACTTGTCTAGATGCCCCCTTGAAACCTATTAACACTTGGTGTTGCAGAGCTTACTTGACTTAGTAAGTTTGTCTAGGATAGAAGTAGTTGTACTTGGGGTCAGATTTCAGAGCCACCGTCCAATGAGTTCCATACTGCCCTGTCAATTTCCTCGAATGGCATAGAGCCTGGCTTTGAATGTTATAACCCATAACCTTGCTGGTTGCAAAAACTTTCCGGAGACCAGATGGTGCATCTTCCGGGTTAAGACGCTATGTGCTCGTGCCCGTAGCCCATGAATCATTACCATGCTTATAACGGTTCGAGACTTCCAAGTTGCTAACCATTCTAGATGGATTAGGCTAAATGAGGCTCCACTGACAATATAACGTTGAACGTTTTTAGACTTGCATTGCTACGAAGTTTTCAAAGTTTAGGCCCTGTTTTGAATGACTAGGGTACTCCCAGCATCATAAAAAAATAAAGAAAGAACATATATTTAAGACAA